GTAGTAATAGTAATAGTAGAAGAAGTATTAGTAATAATATTAAAAGTAGTAGTAGAAGAAGTAGTAGTATTAATTTTAATAGAAGAAGTGATAGTAAAATAAGCAGCAGTAGTATTAGAAAAGGAAGATTAGTAGTAGTAGTAGAAGAAGTTCTAGTAGTAGAAGTCGTAGAAGAAGTAGCATTAGTAGTAGAAGTAGTAGTAATAATAGTATTAATAGTAGAAGTAGTGGTAGTAGAAGAAGCTGCATTAGTAGTATTAGAAGTAGTAGTATTAGAAGTAGTAGTAGTAACAGCAGCAGACGAAGAAGAAGAAAATAGTAGTAGTAGGAGAAGAAGTGTTTCTTCATTTATACTTCTGTTTCTTTCATCAAATATGTGTTATCTTCGTATTTTAAGCTGTTATGATTGGACCCATAAGTAATGAATCATTATTGGATTGCTATGTCTCTATCTATAACCTCAATTAATAAATAACTCACAAACGGCATTTTGTCTTATAACCACTTCTTTTCTTATGTTGATTTGTATCAATTCGCCGTGGGTTTGTTTGTCACACTAATGTTTTGGTTTATACGAATATATTTGCAATTAAATTATTTTTCCCATAAATTAAAATACAGTCTTTCTGTCTTAATTTATCAAACTGTTTGCTTACGCTAAGAGACATAGGTATATGTTCTCCTGCATGTACATTGCTCGCTCTCAAAATATTCTGATAACAAAGACTGTATTTCTTCATCCAGTATGATCATCAAAACCAGATTCTTCTTGAAATATATCTGATCTAATTCTTCTACGTTCTGTTAATAAGACTCTCGGTGATAATCCTAGTTGTTTGTGTCTTTAAACCGATTCTCCGATGGAATAGGGTTTCATATTTACCTGGCTTTTTAGATGACTCTATGAAAATGAATGTGCAATGATCTTTCCGTTTTTCACCGCTGTCGTCTACTCCCTTTAAGATTTATGCAATGCAAAGTTGATAGCGTATATATTAGATGCCTATTGCGGCTCTGTTACAATTCTTTTGTTGCTTTCTTCATTTCACTAATACTTTGGGTTTAATATTTCGGGTATTTTCACGTTTTAAAATATTATAGATTTCCCATTTTGGTCAGTGAACATATCTCGACAGTATCCTTTCTAACTGTAAAGTGTTTTCCATTTTTCTATTTTGAGCGTTCCCTCTTTAGATCTTATGCATTCCGTCGAGAAGAAGGTACTTTAAGTAGAATAATGGCTTTCACAGTGGTCTTCTCTCATTTATTAACAACGGACTAAAACGAATAAACTCAGCGACGTCCTTTCTATAATCAACTCTGCAGTCTACAGTGAAATAAATTTATAAGGCAGAGGGAATTACGAACGGCAGTAAAGCATAACAGATAGGGTCAATTCAAGAAACTCGAATTTTAGCTTTATTTTATGAGACAGCAGTTGCGAGAAAACTGAATTCCGAATAAAGAGATTTCTTGTTGAATATCGACTAGAGAAAAAAAGGTTAAAATAATTTTGATGCCATGGCTACTTCTCAATCTTGCGTTGATTATCGAATGTGATTGGCATTTTCTGAAGATGTGTTGCTAACAATGAAAAAGTTCTATGGCAGAATGCTAAGTTTAGCAATATAGTTGGATTTTATAATGAACCATTTTCAGTGTGACAAAAGAAATGAACACGATCGAGAGAGCATCTATAGAAACTCAACATTTCCCTAGGAAGATTAATGCGGCCGGAAAAATTAATTTTGCAATATGAAGACATAGGTCGTTTATGCTTTTGAAATTTCTTTTTTTCCTTTAGACGAATACAATTTAAACACAGCAAGCAATATTATTATATCTGTAGAATGTAGCCAAGGGTATTGCCCAACATTTTGAGTAAGCAAAGGTATGTCTCTCGTCCTCGCTTTAACACAAACACACACACTCACACAATATATATATATCTATATATATATATATATATATATATATATATATATATATATATATATATACAGACACAGACACAGACACACACATATATATATATATACAGACACAGACATACACACACACACACATGTAATATATATATATATATATATATATATATATATATATATATATATATATATAGTACAGGTAAAAAATCCGTTGTTATATAATCCAAGTGAGTCACGATAATATAGAATATTAAATCTGATCAACAAAAAATGCTCAATATATGTATTATAACAGACCATACGAAAATTTTACAGATGCAATTCTGTGTTGTGTAATATATATATATATATATATGTATGTGTATGTGTGTGTGTTTATATATATATATATATATATATATATATATATATATAGGCAGCATGTTTTCATTAAGACGTGTCTCAGTAAATATTTCAGAAAAGTTTTGTCTACTTATTTTAATATTTTTTAATCTCGGAATTGCAGACATTTTTCTTAGTATCTTTAGTAAAGAAAGAAAGACAATTACCTATTTGATGCATATGCATTTCAT